CACAATATAACTAGAGGAGTTGATGCGTTGTAGCGCATCTCACCTCGTCGGCTCCCTTCCAAGCGGGAACCCGTCTGATGAGTTCTTCGGCGGGTTCTCCACCTTACGTTGTTGGCGGTCTTGTGTCAGGTTAGGCAGCAGCCTCGCGTCAACGGTCGTCCGGGGTATGAAGGGGCCGAAGGGGGGCGTGTGTGTGAAAAGTTTGTAATATGTCACCAGACGAAGTGCCATGTACTATGTGGGGAGCTTGGGGAAATGCTCAATGCACATGACAAACAACAACTAACAGAAATATCCCCATCATGATTGTGTCATTGCAGGTGTTGCTTGTCAATAACAAAGCCATGCGACAAGGTCCTAGTCGATGGTCACAAACCAGGCAAGAATTCAATAGCCGCGTGACCAAAAAATCGATAGGCATATCACACTCAGGGGAGGGATATGCATCACACAGAAGAGAGGAAGGCTTCCTCGTTGTCCATCGCGTGTGATTCGAATCGCGAGTACACACAACGGTCTCGCATGTCCGCTTTTGCATTCCCTGGCATCTGTTTCAAGGGCATAGTATGTCCTACTTGTGCCCTTCCGCGACGGTTTAGTGTCATTGCAAGTCTCCAGGACAACGAATAGCTATGTTTGAATCCACTATATCGCCAAATATTTCTTCCTATTGCACAAGCTAAACCCGATCGCAGATGGGAGACAGTCCTGCGGTCTGCTTAATCCCTCACGGCACGGTTAACATATACCCGTCCCCCCTTTTCTGCCAACTCGTGCCCCGCAACTTCATGTGTGGTTGCCCACAAATATCTACAGTACCGAAAGTGACGTCCGGCCGCGTCCTACCGCACAAAAACACGCACGAAGAATGCGAATCATAGCTGCAGGAGGGGCCAAACTCTCCTCCCGTAGCCACCAAGGCTGAATGTGATGCACGTTTCACCGCCTAACTGTTGATGCTCGTTCGTGACGCGGCAACCGACCAGGGCCCACAAATCAACTGCGAAGATCGACCCGCATCCAGCGTCGGAGAGTATTGGGGAGAGTGCTTGGCGTCCCCTTCCGCGATGGTGCGCATTCATCGTTGTTACGGTGAGGTCGATTTCCTACATGCCGGCGGTGAGATTTCCGCTGGAGGCGTTCGGTAATGACCTTCAAAGAAACAGGCAAGAGATACAATCATCGTTCGTAAGACGACCCTCGGCGGCACGACGGTGAATGTGCTCCCTTCTCTGCCGATTCCGCCGGTGGCAGTATTGGGAGGAGGGCAGGCCGGAGCATTGGGAGCATGGGAAAGACGATCAGATCTTCATACCCATGCTCCCAATGCCCCAGCCTGTCCTCCTCTCAATATTTCTTGCCACCGGCGGAATCGGCAGAAACGGGGATGGCATTTATCGTCTTTCCACTGAGGGTCGATTCAAGGAACGACGATTGCACCACTTGCCTGTTTCGTTGAAGGCGAAACGGTACCCCCGGGGAAAGCACAGCTGTGAGGTTGAGAAACCCACTTCAGCATCGTCAGGGATAGATACTGTACACCGCGTCCATGGTTGGTGTCAAATTTGTCTACCTCACTCAGCAGCACCCGAATCGAAAGATCAGCGACAGATCCTAAGGTTGTGCATGGAGAGTTGTTGCGGAACCCACCTCGTCGGCTCCATTCCCAGCGAGAACCCGCCCGACGAACGCTTCAGCGGGTGCTCCACCTTGAAGGTCCGGTGGTCGCGCGTCAGACCAGGCAGCAGCTTCGCCTCGACGGTCGCCTGGGGAAATGAAAGGGCCGAAGCCTTTTGCCAAGGTCCTAATCGATGGTCACACAACAGGTACGGATTTCGCGAGCCCGGTGACAAAAAACAGGCAGATATATCGCGCACAGAGGAGTTTCATATATGCACCATACAGAAGAGGGGAAGGCTTCCTGGTCGTCCATCGCGTTTGATTCGAATCACGAGCACTAACAACGGTCTCGCATGTCCACGTTTTTCGTTCCCTAGTATCTGTTGTAAGAGTCTTTTGCGTCCAATTTCTGCCATTCCGCGACGGTTTAGTACCCTTGCATGCCTCCAGGACAACGCATAGTTATGTTTGCTTCAATTAAATCGCCAAATTTTCTTCCTACAAGGTATACCGATCTCAGAATGGGAGATAGTGCTACAGTCTGCTTCGTCCCTCGCGGCACGGTTACCATACATCCATTCCCCGTTTCTGCCAACATGTGCCCCGCAACCCCACGTTTTGTTGCCCACCAAAACCTGGCGAAGGCTGGATCCGACCGCGTCCTACTGCAGAAAAACACGCACGAAGAATGAAAATCGTAGCTGCAGGAGGGGCCAAACTCTCCTCCCGTAGCCACCAAGGCTAAATGTGATGCGTTTTTCACCGTCAACCTGTTGATGCTCGTCCATGACGCCGCAACGGACCAGTACATACAATTCAACGGTGAAGATCGACCCACGTTCACCGTCGGAGGCTATTGGGGAGAGTGCTTGGCGTCTCCTGCCGCGATGGTTCGCATTCATCGTTGGTACGGTGAGATCGCTTCCCTACATGCCGGCGGCGAGAGTTCCGCATGGGGGCGCCGGGCGATGACTTCGGGTGTGGTTCCGCGTGGTTCCTTTCAGTAGTGGGATCCAAGTGTGTGTGTTATTATGGGCCGCCCTGGTCGATCTGTGCGTGCGTTTCTGGGTTGAGGCGTCGTTTTAGCATGTATGTTGCCGACGCTTTCCGGCTGCTGAAGTCATTTGGACAGCTTCTACCGCCACCCGCCACCTGATCATCGGTACCCTCCGGTTGAGATATATGCCTACCCGACCTACAGTAGTAAAGAGGTCTGTTCTCATGCCCTTGGCTGCGGTACTTGTTTATTCAACAACCTACACTTGCTGTTTCGACTGGCGCTCTCCTCTCCCGTCAGGAGTACGAGGATTGGAGCTTGGAAGAGCAACGAACGGCCACTTCGACCAACACCCCTCATCGCAACACCACCGTCTGCGACGCGGCCGCGGCAAGCCCATCAACGGCAGAACCTTTCATGCCCAAAACACAACGGGCGGTCTCATTGGGCGCGCGAGGTATCGTGTAGTGAACTCACAAAACGAGTTCGAGAGTCCCGACAGGAATGATCCGTAGTCGCTTGTGAGCTCCCTCCACGTCCCTCGATCTGTCCTGGGCGTGATGGGTTCTTCTGCCGTCGATGGGATGGGGGAGGTCGAAAACGCTGGTGTCGGGATGGGGAACGTCGGTCGTTGCGGCCTCATTCTTGTCTGTCTCGGGCGTGACGAGTAATGCGGCGATGAATGCGAGAAGACGGAATACGGGGAGGCTTGACTGGCCTTGATCTCTGCAGGTCGTGTGGGCCACCACGAGTCAGTTCTTCTGCGCGATCGACAATAATAGCAATTCTTCTCCTGCAGCATTCTGTGGAAAGCCCGACTGTCGTACAGTAGTTCTCGTAGGGCCTCTCTTTGACGTGGTAGGGGCGCTTTGATACCATGCGGTCATACAATAATGTGTGTGCGCGCGCTTCCGTGTTGAAATATCGCGGATGGGGGTATGTTCATGGGCTTGTTTTGTTAACCTGGTCGACGTGCAAGTGCTTGGTAACCTTGATTGCAAACGCCGCCGCCCCGGATGGGTGGATATTGCTGACGTCGAAGAAGTCGGCCTTGCCATAGAGGAATGGCGCAGCCATGGGAATCAGATCACCAGCCGTTCATTGTTCGGTCGCAGGCCGCCATGTTAGCAGCAGGAGATGGCTAAACACCATGACATGTACATCCTAGCTGCTCCCATGGGCGGCCGTCAAGGCTTCGTCATTTCGGATGAAAGAGATTTTGAGACCGTAGTGATGCGCCCAGACCAAGAGCGGGACGCCTCATGTGCTATTGACCGTGTTTGAGTCGGCTTTGAAAATGTCCGAATTGGGCTGGAAACACGCAATAGCCCTTTGTCTGATCATCATCCGGGGAGGGAACCAAATGTTGTGGATCAATCTTGCATCGGGGGTTGCTTCAAGCCCGATAGGGCTAGTGTCGAACAATTTGTCCATGCCCCGTACCCAAGCATGATTATTGGGGAGTAGGGCGCAACCCCTCCAGTGTGGCGTAGTAGGACCTCACCATGGATAGTAAGGGCTCATCTTAATATTGCAGTAGCAGCCTGAAACTTGGCCACCTTGCTCGTTGTCTCTGCGCTACCCTCTCTGGCACGCCACGACTCTCTTTGAGAACACCGTATTTCGACAGAACGGTAGAGTACAACTCCTTCTCTCGTTCGAGGATGCCCTTGAACTACGAAAAAGCTCCATGCGCACCCCAATGAAAACTCAATGGCGATTCGTCATGTTTCAGGAACCCGGATTGCGTGCGTTGTCTGCACTTGCTACTGTACTACGCCGTCAGCAAACAAACCTGCTCTTGGATAAATCTATCTGCCGCAAACGTATAATACGTATGTTTAAACTCTTTCGCGGCTTTCGAGTTAGGTCATGACATATATTGCGCTGGTAGTTCGGACCCTTACGCAACCATCATCGCGTCAGTTGCCCATGCTGATTTTTGTTTCCCCAGATATCCCAAGTCCCCACATTGTAGCGCCTGCTGGGACCCCAGACATCTGGTGAAAGCAAAAAACACAGAGCAACAAGAGAGCACAAAAAAAACATTTTTCCGACACCTACCCGACAAATCTTTATTTTTGACCTCTCCGG